CAACCAGAGCGCGTCGGGGGCACCTCGGCGCAGACACGACGCCAAGGACTGGGACATAACTAAGGAGCGCTACTGGGACCAGAGCCACGACACTGGCAGGAGCGCAGGTAGCGCACCCTGGCGCCAGCCAGAATCGCGCAACTCATACTACAAGGACGACCGCAGCCACACCGACACCAGCCGGACGCGAACCACCTTCCGCGTTGGATGGCAGCGCCTCCCAAACGAGACAGCGGTAACACACCTGAAGAGGCTGCAAGCAGAAGGGGGATACCACTTCAACGCAGCCTGGCATTCGCGGCGCAGGCACATGTGCAAGGAGCAGGGCAAGGGCAAATCCAAAGAACGGGCGCCTTTCGACCCGGGCCGCGGGCATCAGTGGATCATCGACAAATTCCTGGATGACATGAGCGCCAACAACTACCACGTGGACCAGTGCATAAGCAGCGCAGGCGTCTACGTGGACTAGATGCGGGAGCAGAAGTTCTACCAGGAAGTGCAGAGGACAAGGGAGGTCGCTAAGGGTGACGGGCGCGACGGGGACCAGGCGCGCAGCTCTGGGCACCACGACACCTGGACTGGAAAGCGCCCGCGGCGCTGACAGTCGTCGACCTGACCACCTCGTGCCCCACGGCACCACAGCACAACCAGCCAATCGCTCCCACTACCTGCGCCCCCGACCCCGACCCACGCCCCAACCTGTCACCTGGCTGGGGACCGTGTGCCCCTCTCTTCCCCATTACCTGCACCCCGTCGCCCCTGTGGCGCCCGCGTTCCACGCGCTGGCTACCCACCCTTCCACCTGGACCCCGTCCTTTCCTCCCGCCCCCCTCCCTCTCTCCCGTTTCCAAAGATCTGGGACTCTGTGTCCTACCTGCACCCATCGGCTGAATAAGATTCAAGGATCTGGGACTCCGTGTCCCCCCTGCACCCACCTGCGACGCATTGGTGTGCCGGCGTCTTACGTGACACGCCCTTTTACCCGCGTTGGGACCTCGTGTCCTACCTGCACGTATTGGGCCTTGTCCACACGTGAGCACCTCGGTGCAAGCTGGCGCGACTTCGGCTGGCGCGGGACGCCGGCCTCTCTCCTCCCCGTTCGCTTCTTTTTCCCCGCTCGCTTCCCCCCCTCCCATGGCGGCGGCGCCCGGCACGGCGCGGCCCCGGCCCGGTGCTGGGCACTGCGCCTTGCCGCTTCGGCGGCCCCGCTTGCCCCGGGCAGCGCGGCTCAGGCCCGGCCCTCGGCCACGCGGTCGTCAGCGCATCGCGCGCGACTCCCGCGCGCCTTCACGCGCTGACTGTGCAGGTCAGGCTTCCTCCCTGCGCACAACCGACATCCAGTCGGACACAGACGGCCCTGTTCATGGCCGCACCTCCCGGCTGCTTCCTGGACGCGGATTGGACTACACCCCCCAGGCCGCTACCGACCACCCGGTGGCACAACGATGCACATCGTCTTCGTGGCCCTCCTCATCTCCTGGGCCTCTCCTCACCATCTGGTGGCACAAGTTGCTCATCGACTACCTGGTGTACCTCTACCCCCCAGACGTCGACCTGGCCACGTCCTTCCACACGCAGCACATGAGGATGGTGATTTTGATGCGCCGTCGACGGCAACACCACTTCGCTCTCCCTCCGGGGCTCCGCCTCCGGCCCCTGTCCAAGGCGCACCTTTTCCTGTGCAAGCTCTTCAGCACCGCTTGCACCCCGCGCCCTCCGGCCGCCTGAGGCCCCGCCCGCCCGCGCCCTGTCTCCTCAGTAGTGTTTTGCGCAGCCCGCCTAGCTGTTAACCGGAAGAGGCTCGCTCTCGACCCGCAGACCAAACAAAAAAAAAAAAAACGGTTTGCTACTCTTTGACTGCAGCTGACGGATGTGAACCTCAAACTGTCCTTGCATTCGCGCCAGCGATGGCGACTCGCGCTGTCGAGCAACTCGCCACAAGGCTCGTCTCATGGCCAGCCAAATTTGTCCTGATTGCCAAATGCGCTCGTCACACAGCTAGTTAACATTGCACTCCTTGCAAGTCCTGGAGCAAGCGTTGAAAAAACGCAGCCGACAGTCACCGGACTTCTCTGGGGCATCGACGCCTGGAAATGCTAGGGCAACGAAACGCAAAGTTCCCACATTCCTTGTCGACTGACACCCGACGCGTGCGCGACGAGGCAGCCGAAGCTATCCTTTTCCTCACGAGTGAGCACCGGTCGTTCCTTGACCTCCGTTTCTTCTCCGGGCTCTGCAACGAAGTACGCGATAGATCCCAGTGCCACGCCTGAGATCTTACAAGATAAATCGGCAGATCGTGCCTCTGCCATGGTGGATCACCCGTGTCGTTGGGTCTGTTCCTGCGAACAGAATCGACCGGCGGCAACATGGGACTGGCGGCACAACCACTCGTTTGCGGATTCCGTTGGGTACTACATCATCGTCGTCAACCTCAACAATTTCGGAACGACATGTACAAGTCGGCACGGGTCGAAGGCTCTTGACCCCAGCGGGCTCTTCTCCGCCCGACGATCCCCTTCTCACTCTCCACGAACGAAAAGAAGTCGACCTCGAATGCTCACGCTCCTCCTCCGACCCAGGAGCAAATCTGCCCAGGTTGGAGGAAGGGCAGGCAGAACGCTTCCAGGTGCATCTGGAGTCGTTTCCTGCATGAACTGCTCAGATTGCATCGAATCTGGCGTATCCGTTGGAACACGGACCTTATGTGTGACATTTTTTTGTGCGAAACCCATGCGACCTATAAAAAGGGCATGGTGATTCGCAAGCTCCGCCTCAGGACCAGCTTTGCAACGTTCGTCTGGGATGTCGGTACCATACGCCGTGACATACACACTGGTCGGGGCAGTCATACCGTCGACCGAAGATATGGCCCCTTTTTCCCTCCGATCAATTTCCCTCCCAGGTTTGGTAGGATTATTACTGGGCTTCCCCGGCATTGACTAGGACACGGTGCAAACATCCGAACCTTGTTCCGACTGCTGATGGGACTCGCCTCGTCCTCTGGAGGCACCATCGAAGTGATGGGTCCTCTTCTTGGGCGTGAACATATTATGCGTCTCAGCACCTACACCCTCACAAAGGGCATTATTGACAATATCAACAACTGATTCGTCGTTGTATTATTTTCTTCATCAAAACCAGCGCCTTGCTTTTTCAAGTTGCACCTCATGCGGATGCTGACACGAACTGTTTCCATCATGTTCCGGCGGCAAACCAGTCTTTCATGAGAAAAGTTGTACTAGTTGACGATAGTGGCGCATGATTATATATCTCCTCTCCTAATTCAAGGGATCCTTTCATGCGGATCTTGCAGACGGAAATCCGTTCCATGGCGCGGTTTACCACGTAAGCAACGTAAGGATGCATGGACAGTGATACGCGCACGCTAGACAGGGGCGCGCGTCCCCTTCCTCCGCCAAGACGCGAGGCACGTCTTGCCCTCACGAAACGGCTTGCACCAAACGCCCGCAGCGGCAAGCGATTGGACAATCAAAACGGAGGCAGAGTGAGCCAAGGTAACGACTGCGACGGACTGCGGCGCAGTCGGGCGCAGCGTTCCGGGAGGCCCGTCGCACGCCGGGCCCGAGGCAGCCAGACGCCCGGGTGGCACCGTGAGGGCGCGCACCGCGGCGGGCCCCGGCGGAGCAGCGATTCGCGGCGGCCCTGGCGCGGCACCGGAGGAGTCCCGCCCCGCCGCGCCACGTCCCCTCAGCTACGGTCGGGAACCGCTACTTGGCGTGTCGCCACGACGGCCCCGGGGACACGCTGCACCGTACGATCGGGTAGCATGTCGCTCCGCTCCGCAGGGCGGGAGGCTCGGAGAGGCTCGGGACATGGGCACCAGGGGGTTTGGAAAGCGGATGGCGTGTCGCGCCGAAGCGCGGTGGGCCAGAACCGGCGGAACGCCACGCTGGCCAGAAGTTTCCAACCGTCTTCCTGCCTCGGGGTTGTGGGCGTCACGGTGTGGTCGCCCCTGCAGTCCAGAACCTGGCCCCACGATAACTCTGCTGGCCGCCACGGGCGTGCACTGAAGTCTGCCTGCCGTCGTAGACCGCGGGTGCCCTGGGCCAACCTCCCCTCCCCATTGCTCGTACTAGTTATGATTCCCTGCCGTCTCCTCTCGGCGGCGCGCCCAGGGGGAAGTGAGAAGGAGCGGGCCATCTCAGAAGGCTCGGATGTTCCCTGGCCTTCGGAAAAGCTTTCTGAGCCTTCCCCGAAGACAGAAAACCTCTCTGAAGGCGCGAGAGCTTCCGAGAAGCCCCGCCGCCTTCTGAGAAGGCCTTCTCCTTGTCACTTCCCCCCCTCGCTCACCGCTGATCATACTCATTATGATTCCCTGCCGTCTCGTCATCCTCGTCCTCCTCATCCTCCCGCCTCCCCCTCGCCATCGCTCGGACGTCCATTCCCCATACATCTATTGGTTTCGTGCGTGTACTTTTTCGCGAGATGGCCCGACATGTCTCGATGGTCTTCGCCGAAAATTGGACATATGTGAGCAATGCCAAGCCCCCTGCCTTCATCCTCCTTCTCACCCCCTCTCCCGCTCACCCTCCGCCTCCTCATCCCCATCCTCATTCTCCTCCCCTATCCCCTACCCCCCCCCGCCTCCCCTCCCAGGCGCCGACGCGGCCGCAGACGACGACTAAAAGGACGCCGACGAAACGACGACGACGACGACGACGACGACGACGACGACGCCCACCACTACCAACACCACCATCACCCCTACCACCGCGACCACGACCACGACCACGACCACGACCACGACCACGACCACGACCAAATACATGACCATCACCACAACCACGACCACGACCACGACCAGGACCACGACCACGACGACAACGACGACCACCACCACGCCGACGCCGACGCCGACGCCGACGCCGACGCCGACGCAGCGCCGCCGCTCCTCATCGTCGTCGACGTCTTCGGCGGCGGCGGCGGCGGCGGCAGCGGCGGCGACGAGGCGACCGACGAGACCGCCCCGCCGCGTC